CAGGTGTGATCCTCACGGATGCATCACAGTGCTCTCAGCATCGGGGGAACTGGCCCCCGGGCACCAATATTCACCCAAGATCCCATCCAGGGACTTTGGCGTATCTCATTTGAAACTGTGATAAAGAATCCCTATGCAAGCCAACGTAAAGTGTGCAAATTGTGTGTGTACTAGGTGCAGCTATAATAATGGCTAAAACCAGTTTTCATCAAGTAAAGCCATAGATGTGTGCAATTACTACAGATTAACTAAGCATTTACTACAGGAATTGACACTGTAGCGAGTTACAAACATTGCATTTTCAGCAATTTTCTGAAGTATTCCTACAAATGAATTTGCACACAAATATTTCATAGGATACATCCAGCCAGCCTTTCAGAAGCCAATGTATAATACACACAATAATCAGGCTTTCCCTCTGTAAGCAGAATTACTGGACTGGGTTCAGCCAACACCTGACTCCATGGGCAAAGCTTTTTCTCCCAAGTTCTTCTGGAGTTTATTCCTGCACCAGATATGCTTTTATGCTGGAGATAACAGAGGACTCCGTTTCAGAGACAGCAGAGTACTGATGTGTGAACCCTTTTGCTTTATATCAGTGTCTGGAAGAGAAAGGCACGGACCATACACGTACACATACGCTGCATGTTGCAGAGCTCGTGCCGCGTAAAGCAAATGACTGCGCGTTCATAAAGCTATCCAAAACAAAGAGGGAAGATAAGAGTGAAAGGGAGAAGTTTTGTTTTTAGAAGGAGAAAAGGGAGCCTTGCCAATGTTGTGAACCCGAGCCAGCTATCCCAATGCAAACCTCATGTTGTTACATAGATCATGTTTGGGAAGAGATGTAATATTAATCAACTTTCTGGCATTAAGTATCCGTTACTGTACAAAAACATTCTTGCTCTGGCTTTAATTCAGTTCTAAGTCACTGTGAAAACATTTATGTGGCTCTCAAACTGCTTTAAAGAACCCAGGCAGTAATTCTTTTCCCCTCCTGGAGGAACTAAAACAATGATCTACTTCCATAAAACAGAGTATTTTAATACTGCTGATTGTTTTCCTTAAGTGTTGGGTATGTTCAGAGTTCTATAAAACATTTCCACAGATAGAAGCTGTCTTCTGGAAGCCCCCCAACACGATCTACCTACTTGGGTTGAGTGGCGAAGGCGTACTTCTGGAGAAAAGGATCCCACGACATCATATGAAAACGTGTGGTACCACTGTTTCCATACTTCTCCAGCCCTAACCCAACATCATGCAATTTGTCAGTGGACAACTCCACAGCAAAATTTCCATAGCTGGATGCTACAAACAGGAGAACCACGGCAGATAACCTGGGCTAGTGGGAGGTGTCCCTGCCCGCGGCAGGGGGGTTGGAACTCGATGATATTTAAGGTCCTTTCCGACCCAAACCATTCTGTGAGTCTGTAACACT